ATGAGACTGTTCTGTGCACGGGGCAGTAGTGCAATAGTACCAGGCTTTGATTGGTCTGCATTGTTATGCACTCTTGTCTGTCCTCTGACACTACATAGACTCTGGCTAAAAGGAGTGTATTTGTTTCTACATTCGACAATCACTATTTTGACTCATTTTATTATATATACTGTAGTTTTGACTGTGTATGATGAATGAAATTATATATTTGCTTCTGCTGTTTTTTAAGAAATAAAATTGCAACACTAGAATTCTGTCATTCCTTCACCTGGGGAGCTGGGAGCCCGCTGGGAAGAGGAGAGAGAGGAAGAGTGTGTGAGTGAGACCGGAGTCTTGTAACTCCTATACAGAAAGATCCCGGAGCCGGGCTCAGCCCCTAGGCAGGCAGTCCGGAGAAAAGCCTCCGCTGGGATCCGGCGCCGGAGTCCGTAAGGCACCGATGGGTCGAGTGGACTGGTCTCCCTGGAGCAGCCCCGTTGTCCCGAGTGGGAGCCAGCGCCGATGCCGGTACAGGGTCAGAGCTGGGGGGGTCGGACGGACTGAGGGGCCCCCCCGAGGCCCGCGCCAGGTGGGTCCTGGTGCTTCTCGCCTTGCAGTCTCCCCAGGACAGAGCCCGGCTTCGGTGCAGCTGTCAGAGCAAGGCGCTTCTCCTGTCGGGGAGACTTCACCAGGGCTGACGCGCTGTCAAGCTGAATTATTTCCATCAGCCTTTAATTAACAACAGATACAATTAAAGTCCCGCTCGTGTTTGTTGTTAGGGACAAGCAAGCTTCACGTCGGGCTCCATTAGCTTGGAGGAGAGACTATATCAACTAAACTGTCGGGTTTAACAACCAGTCATGAAGCAGATATGTTGCTTAACATTCGACTCGCAACATGACTCATCCCCCCCCTGTAACATCTCCAGAACAGAGAGATACGTGTCCTTCTGCAGCCAGAAGCTGACTCTGCCAGGAACACGAGGAAGTGAAGAATGAGCAAAAGAGTAAAATCATAATGCAGTAACTATCTGAGGGAGAGAGGGGTTAATACAGACACACTGACTGGACACTCCAGTACATTAACACTGCACTGAGAGAGAGAGGGGTCAATACAGACACACTGACTGGACACTCCAGTCTCACCTGTAGTCCAGTGCAGATGAAATGCGTCTGCTGTCATCTACATACAGACAACTCTTCAAGCAGAAGGACACACAGTGATCATCAGGCCACACTGGAAAAACTACAGTACTGCTCACTGCAGCCACACATGAGACAAAACACAGGTCAGCACACTGCAGTCACGTTAATATTGACATCAGGTGGACAGTAGTGTGTAAATACGTGTACACATCTGCAGAGACGTGCCCTCCTGCTGCTGTCACCATGCTGTTCCAGGTGAATGGCTGTGAGGCGTCAACAGCTGGGTGCATTCTGGGTAAAGGCAGGAAGCAGGCAGGCCTGCCAGTTCAATGTCAGAAATGAGGAGGTGAGGGAAGATGTTCAGAAATTGTGGCTTTAGCATGAAGAGAGATGCCCTCTTCATGCCCTTGTCTCTTCAAGGTAGTGTGCCCTTTCTCACTGGACTGGACTGAGCTGGGCACAGCCACAGTGACAAGTGGGGGTAGGAGTTTCATTCCCTGCTCCTTCGTGTGTCCCAGAGGGGTGACTGTGTGTCTGGGCTGAGTTTAGAGCTCTGATCACTCCTGTCATGTTACTTCCTCATGTGCCTCAGGCAACTGCACCAGCTAGGTGTGTTTCCTGATGAACAGGACGAGCTGCTCAGGCTGAGCACCAACACAAGGACCCTGTCAGACCCGGCAAGCAGAGCGACGAAATGAGGAACCTGTCAGACCCGACGAGAAGAGCACCGACACGAGGACCC